ACTCAAGAAGGGTGCTGTTGCACTCTAGACGCAAAAGCAAAAATACAGGTGAAAGTGGCACTGAATTCGGAGTCCTGAGCGAAAAATTATGGCCAAAACATTGAAGATGCACTACCGGTAATCCGACCTGCGGCCAGCCTGAATAAAATCCGAGTTTTAGCTAAAAAACAACTGCTGCAAAATAAGGAATAACTAAAATCCTTGGCTTGAAGGTCAGATATGGGCTGGGAGAAAAAAAAACCATGAGGGGCCCATCATAGAAAGAAAGAAAGAAATGTGGATTTAGCCCTAGTTTTTGGAGGAGGCCGAAGAATATGGGAGGCAGTGTGAAGACAGGGGGAAGAACGGCATAAAAAATAAAAAAGAGAGCAGGAGCAGAGCAACAAGGATATCCCCATCATCTTCCTTTGTCATCTCCATCAACGTCATTCCAAGAACAACTCGGCAATACCATGTCAATCCATGCCTCTTCAACCTTCGCCATACCACCCCAGCGGCAAGACTAGAATCACCGCGCAATCACCGGAGCCTTGCTGCCCGCACATCGCTGGAGCAGTCCGCACCTGCGCAACCGTATAGCAGCAACGCCGTCTCCACCCTCTTCTCCAGGCTATTTTATTTTCTGTTTTTATTCTCTTGTTTATGTGACCTGCATTAGCTTTCATTTTTATTTGCATAATTAAAACTCAACATTGATTTGGATGCATTTTAATTTGTTAGTCTTTTTACAGGTTGTTTGGTGAAGTTTAATTCAATAAATTTATGTTGCGAATTGGTTTTATCAATTTAATATTGATGGGTTAAGTTTTTTTATTCGAAATTGACTGCTACAAGTTCATTTGTTTCTGAGGATTGAACTTAGTCCTTAAGCGTATCTGAATTTGCTCACTAGTGTTCTTGGTTTACCAAAAATTGAGTTTTGCTTGGTGTTTGGGACTAAAATTTAAAGTAGTGGTGTGATTTATTTATTTTTATTTGAAATTGTTTAAGTGCTTGAGATTATTATAATTATTTTTTATTTTGTTGTCTTAATTGCTTTTATATAAAAAAAATATTGTTCTTAGTTTGTTCAGTTTGATTTAATGGTTAAAACAATGCTTTATTTTCTATTGCCCACTTTTGTTGTCCCTTAACGAGATAGCTTGCCAAAGTCTACCGGATCTTGTGTCTAGCATTCTCTGATTTTACTTGACCTTCGTTACTCCTTGCGAGAACGATACTCGAGGTCGGCTCCCGCCGTACTTCGTTTTACTACCCCGATCAGTTGTTGCCTCACCGGGTTAAAAAGAAATATAATCATTTATCTAAGACTAAACCAAGTCTTATAGCCTCGGCATAACAATCCATGCAAAACCACGCATGTAAATCAACATATAAGCAAAACAGCAGCAAATCGGGCCGGTTCAGCCATAATCGGAGCCGATTCATGATTAAAATCTTTAAACTAGGCACCCCGTACCCAAACCGGCACCGGTTTTTCCTATAACCGGCGACGGTTACCCCCTGGGCAACCGGTCAAAATTTCCGTTGACTCGTCATTTGAAGTCCGATTGATCCGAAACTTAATCCAAACGTGTATTAAGTCTTAAAGAATCAATACTTGCCATTTTGGCCATCCAAAAAATCACATATGTTTTTATACCATTTTCATATCATCTTTCATGCATAAACATTATGGTTCATTTCTTATAAGCCTAGTCATCTTGGCTAATCACATGCTTAAAGCATTTTAAACATCATTATGAACACATATATCATTTACTTAGATAATCTCATACTTAACCCAAAAGTTACAAGACATTAATCTGTCCACTCACCTCGAATGAGCTTTAAGAAGTTCCACCCTTCTTGGTTGAATTTCAGCGAAACTCCGGCGACAATTACGGCGACTCTTTCAACTCCGTGAAAGTTCTAGGAACACCTTAGACAAGTTCCCGGCAAGGTTTTACCATCATAAAACCCATATTAATACAAATAACCCCTAAAAGGTTATTTTCCGGCGAACCGCTCACTTTGGCTTCTAAGTTCGTTCTTGGACTTAGAACTACTTTCCAACCCCTCATTCTACACCTCTAAACATGTAGAACAATTCTAGGGTTCCTCATATGATGTATAATCCATATGATAGTCAAAAGGTGGAAGAAAAGATACTAAAGAGCTTCTCACCTTAACACCAAAGGCTATTCTCTCTTTTTCCTTATTCTTCTTCCTCCTTGGACCTTTTTCTTGGTTGATCTTGATTCTATCAATGGAGAATGATATTTTCTAGTAATTTTCCTCTTCTGGAGATGTCTTAGCCGCACAAGGAAAGGAGAGGGGGTGAGGGTACTCCTCTTTGTCTCAATAGGCAAATGAGTGAGATGGGAGGGCCACTTCTGACCACTTCTCACCCACCCAATACTCTCAAACAATGTCAACCTCTCAAACCATGTTGTGAAGCCCCTAATTGTCAACTTTGAGCTCTCAAAGCGTGGGGTGGCCCCCACTAATGTGGGAGGTCATCCCAATATGTCCCGAAGTGTACATTCGGCCCCGAAAATTGTATTTCTCAGACTGTTTTTATTCTATTTTATTTTATTGGGTCAAATAAAATATATCACACATTCTCAATCACTATGGGCCTCTAAAATGAATACACATTCTCCAACTTTAATTTAGAAGTCTCCGAAATTTATTTCGGGCTGTTATTCGATAAATTACCAATATCGGTAATTGGACCTCGTTTGACCAACCGGACAATCCTATGCCTTTTCTATGGCCCAAGTAGAATATCCACTATCATATATATCATCTAGACCGAGATGAATATCATATGTGGTCCTGGAGTATTGGGTGGTCCCCGCTCCTGGTGTGGGTCCCACGTGCAATTTACTATTCACGCAAAAGAAGTAACAAAAACTTACAACCTCGTGATTTCATAATTCATTTTTCAAGGTTTATTACATGATTTTCTAAAAAGTAAATATACTTGGGGGTGTTCCAGAATAGGTTCAAACACATTAATTCAAATCAACCACGGAACTATAAATAGTTTTGTAGGGAAAAGGGGCAAATAAGCCCACGTACTAACCAAAAAAGGTCTAATAAGCCCTTATATACGAGGCTCTGTCCGTCCATCGCCATTTGGGGTAGTTCCCGGTGGAATTTTTTGAGAATCTTATTCATTAAGTCTAGTTTATTCATAACAAATTTCAGCTAATAATTTAATTGAGAAGGCATTCAAATAAATTCTTGAAGATAACTGCGCTTTTAACTACACAGTTATTTTCAAGAATTCATTTGAATGCCTTCCCGATTGAAGTTTTAGCTGAAATTTGGTATGAGTAAATTAGACTTAATGAATAATATGCTCAAAAAATTGCATCAAAAATTTTCACCGAGAACCATCCCAAATGACGACGGCCAGACATAGCCTCCTATATAAGGGTTTATTTGACCTTTTTTGGTTAGTACGTGGGCTTATTTGCCCCTTTTCTTCAATTTTGTACTTTGTTCCACTTGCAGGGTTAGTCATCAACAAATAAACATAAATACGTTGTGCACTTGATATCCATTGGAACATTAGATAATTTTGTCCTTTATTCCACCTACAGGGTTAGTCATCAATAAAACAATACTCAACATTTTTCAAATAAATACTTATCATTTCTAAATTTTTACAAATATGAATAAAAAGAGTCTTCTCTAAAAATATATGTTCGTATTCTTTAATAAATGCATATCATACCTAGTTCTTCTCTTATTGAACACCAATAGAAATCTACTAAAAAAGACCACAAGTAGAAATAATTTCTTGGAATTATGAGACAAAATGAGGAGTTTTCAAAACTAATTTCCAAAAACATGACCACATTACTTTTGGATAAAAAAGTGATCAAGATGGTTATATATATTGGAAAAATATGAAGTGACTATCAAATATTCATTTTACTCTCAATTTTTATGTCAATGTCGCAATCGCTCACGTCAATGCCCCCCGCCATCGCCATTGTCAGTGCTGCCACTGCCGCCGTTTGTTATAGCCGCTGGCCATAGTGACACCTCAGCATTGGCATCTTTGCCCCCTATCTCTAGCCAATGTGACGACTCCCCCCGCCGGCAACAGTAACATTACCGCAGTGACAACTCTGCAGTGACGCATAATTACTCCGGCCACCACCAATCACCACTGCCATCACTCGTCTCCCCATACACCTCACTTCCACTGCCCTCCCCATCCCAACGCGCCAACACCGGGAAGACCCCATCCCCTACCCCTGCCCTCACTCACCTCCCAAGCTTCAACTCTGGCCACTCATAAGTCATACCAGTCCCCCTGTAACTGTAAATATTTCCCAATTCAAGTCACTGACCCAGCCCCGGCACAGTATTCCTAGCCATGACCAGCAACAACCGTTCCATCGAAGACGACGGTGGATGTGTCCGAAAGCTTCAACTTCATTGCGATTGAGTTTTAGGGAAGAGGGCATATGTGGCGCAGACCGACGACCTTTGAAAATAGGTATATTGGCGTCGGCGACTTTTAGAGCATCAACGACGGCACTCCCTGAGCTCCAATGGCGTCAATAACTCTGCACTCTGACCTAGCCTCAATGGATAAAGACGACAACATCCACCTCACCATTAACCGCACAGAAAGGTAAGGATTAGAAATCGGCGCAGGGGAGGGGTAGGGCAACAAGCGACGCAGAGCAGAGAAGCGGATGGAGGCCGTCAAAGGCGAAGGTTGGCGAATGTGAGGTCGATGATGGATGAGCGATGGAGGAGACCTGCGATCGATCATTCCTAGAACCGGTCAATCCAGTCGATCTCTATGGGGAGGAGAGAAGTGTATGTCACTTTTTTGTAAAACTTCAAAATGTCATATTTTTGCCTATTAAAACCGTACAAGTATACTTAGTGTGATTCTTTGGGAAATTTACGCCACAAAATATAAAAAAGTACTCTAAAAATCAGAGTTTGTAACCTATATAATGAATCTACCATTTTCATGTAGTAATAAAAGAAGCACTAACATAGAAGCAAATGCTTAAATTTATAGAGATGATTCTAGTAGTTACTCCCTCTGTTCCCAAAAATACTTCCCACTTTCCTTTTTGGGTTGTTCCCAAAAATACTTCTCACTTTCTCATTTTGGACAATTTGTGTGACTCACATTCATTTTACTTTTTTCTTACACAACCACAACCATATATTTTCACTTTATTCCACTTTCTTAATAAGCGTGTCAAGTCAAACCGGGAAGAATTTTTAGGAATGGATGGAGTATTATGTTATCAAAACTACTTCAAGCCTCATTGGCGCGAAAACAGTCATTTATCGTTCATATGGGGGAACCGGAAATGCCCTCCGAATTCCTCCATCAAGCTCACTGGTATGACTCCGCTCTCAAATCGGTGTCTGAATCGGCGGAGATGATCTATGTCTACAAAACGGCGGCGCACGGATTCTCCGCCAAGCTCACAGAGCAAGAAGCTCTGTTTCTTGAAACTCTGCCCGGCGTCGTCTCTGTTCAGCCGGAGAGAAAGTACCAGCTCCACACCACCAGAACGCCGTCGTTTCTGGGACTGGTTGCTTACCTTTTACCCGGATCTGCTGCTGAAAGTGACGTTGTCATCGGAGTAGTAGACACCGGAGTCTGGCCGGAGATAAAGAGCTTCGACGACCGACGACTTGGTTCGATCCCAACCACTTGGAAAGGCACGTGCGAGACGGGAACCAATTTCACCGCATCGAATTGCAACTAGAAACTGATAGGTGCGAGGTACTTTTCGAAAGGGTAAGAGGCAAGTCAGGGGCCGGTCAACGAGACTCTGGTGAGCAAATCTCCCCGGGACGATGAAGGCCATGGGACCCACACAATCTCCACCGCAGGAGGATCGCCTGTTCAGCACGCCGGCCTGTTCGGTTACGCGGCCGGAACTGCTCAGGGCATCGCTAAGAACGCAAGAGTCGCAGCCTATAAAGGCTGCTGGGTCGACGGTTGTTATAGTTCTGATATATTGGCGGCCATGGAAAGTGCCATCCAAGACGGCGTGGATATTCTTTCCTTGTCTCTCGGCGTTGGGTCTGTTGACTACTATGATGATGTCATTGCCGTTGGAGCATTCTCCGCCGTGGAGAAGGGAATTGTGGTAGTTTGCTCCGCCGGGAACGATGGTCCTAGTCTATACACCGTGTCCAACATGGCACCGTGGATCACCACCGTTGGTGCCGGGACTCTTGACCGTGATTTCCCGGCTCCGGTAACCCTCGGTAACGGAAATAAAATTCCCGGTGTTTCTCTTTACAATAACAAAGCTGTTCCATTTCCCGCCAAAAAATTTCCTTTCGTCTACGCCGGGAACCTCAGCAACGCCACGGATGGGAATTTGTGTGTTCGGGGAAGTTTGGATTTGAGCAACGTGAAGGCAAAAATTGTACTTTGCGACCGGGGGTCAAATGCCAGAGTTGATAAGGGCTACGTTGTAAAAGCCGCCGGAGGGGGCGGGATGGTGTTAGCCAACACGGCCGAACAGGGAGAAGAGTTGGTGGCAGATCCCCATTTACTTCCGGCAACGCACGTGACAAAAAAATCCGGAGACATCATTAAACCATCACCTGTACTTCCAGCTTTCAGTTCTCGCGGCCCCAACACTATGACGCCAGAGATACTGAAACCCGATGTGATTGCACCGGGGTCAGCATTCTTGCGGGATGGAATGGGGCCACCAGCACAAATGGTTTACGAGAAGATCCCAGACGTGTCGAATTCAACATAATATCAAGGACATCCATGTCGTGTCCGCACGTGAGTGGCATATCAGCTTTGCTTAAAGCGACGTACCCGGATTGGAGCCCTGCTGCAATCCAGTCTGCTCTGATGACCACATCGTACATAACCTACATGTCAGGTACCCCACTTATAGATGCCGCGACGGGGAAGGAAGCCACACCATATGACTCTGGGTCGGGTCATGTGAACCCCATGTCTGCATTAAACCCGGGGCTTGTTTACGACATAGACACAAACGGTTATCTAAAAAGAAATTAGCCATAATAGGACTTAAACATGCTAAAAAACTCATATTAGGACTTACCAAGTTTTCTCTCGTTAATAGGACTTATACGGTCCTATCTTACGTTTTACTACTTTAGGAAATATCCTAAATACCCCAGTTCGAAGTTCGCTTGAGATTGTTTACACGCACGTAAAATTTATCGGCCTTTTTCGGTTATCCAGTTTCAAGCGGTTAAGGAGTTTCCGTTTACTTGTTGGTTGAGTAGTTTCCTTATCCGAGTAGTTTCCTTGTTCGTCAATTCTGCATCTTTTTCCTGCATTCGTCAATTCTGAGTACGAGGTCATAGCTGCCTGTGTTTCGTTCTTTGCAGGGTATGTTTACTTCAAATTTAAAGCTTTCATAATACTGGCCGTGATTCTGTTTTCGTTCGTCAATTCTTCTTCAATCGTTGTTACATTGAAGAATAAATTTGTTATATTAGATATACGATCGCTTTTTCCTGCATTCTTTTTCCTGCATTCGTCAATCCTTCTGTTTTTTCCTTCCAGCTCTGTTTTTTTCTTCAATTTCATATTATCGATCCTTTCATCATATGATCGCTTTCAAATTCGTTATAATCAACAATTTATTTCGTATGTCATTGTACTCTGTTTTATTTCATTAAATTTCATCCGCTAGTTTAGATATCAGTTTGTATCTACAATTTATTTTGTTTTTGTTAAATTCTCTATTCGTCTACCTAAATTATGCCCTTCGAACTGTCATTTAGTTTGTTCGAACTGTCATGTATATGCATTTTTTGATTACTCCTTTTTATGTTCTGTAATTGTATATAATTGGTACACATTCTTATAAATTGTCATATTGTTAACACAACTGTCATAATTTTGTCCAAACTGTCATTTAGTTTGTGCTACGTTCCTACCTGTATATGCATTTTTTGATTTCACCTTTTTATGTTCTGTCATTCAATGGTACACATCCTTATAAACTGTCATATTGTTAACAAAACTGTCATTATTTTGTCCGAACTGTCTTTTTTCATACTGAAATATTTCTTTTGCTGCATTTTTTTTGGAACCTTTTTACCACAATGGATCCTATTTTACTTGTTATGGTCAAGGTTGACGGTTTTTGGGATTCTAACAATGTGTTCAACAATGTCCACACATGTGGCCTTCATGTTAACTATAATGTTCAATATGCTTCTTTTATTAACTCTTTGAGTGACATCCTTTCTCAGTACAAAGCTAATCATAATTTCAGGCTTTCTTATATGCGAGATGGATTTCCTCCTCCTGTTACTATAAATGATCAATCTACCTTAACATTTTATCTTTATATCAAGTCTCTTCAACCAGATTTTTCATTGTATCCACTTTGTGTTGAGTTTTATCCTGTTTCATCTTCTCCTGCATTTTCTATTGATGTTGGACCATCTGCTTCTCCTTGGTCTGAAAATGTTGTCATTTCTTCACAACAACATACCCCTTATGATGAGAATGTTGTTGTTTCTTCTTCCCATGCTTCACAACAACATACCACTTATGAGAATGTTGTTGTTTCTTCTGCCCAACAACATTCCTCCTCACCTACACTTTCTTTTGATGATGGCCCACCATTTGGTCAATATGAAAATGTTATGCTATCTAGGGTAAGTTGTGGCCAATCCGAAGATATTGTTTCTTGTGGTAACACTGTGTCTGCAACTGTAGAAAATGAATCATCTGAAGACAGTGATGACATGTCAGATGATATGTCAGATGGCCTTTTAACTAAATCATATGACTCATTCTCATTTCTCCAAAATTTTGAAATCATCACACAGTCCCATCCTACTTGTCTTCTTCTCCATGCTATTTACAAAAATAAAAAAGAACTTATCCACCATCTGAAGATGTATGCTATCACAAACCACTTCCAATACAGAACTAAGACATCGAAGAAAATATGTTTGCATGTTATTTGCTTAGATCCAAAATGTTGTTGGAGTGTTCGAGCTGTAAAACTACATGGCGTAACAATGTTTCAAATCAGAAGGTAACTTCAATTTTCCTTCTTTAATTCACTTCATTGTAAATTCTGGTTTATAAGAATGTCATGTTGTGTTGCCATTCTTATACAGGACTGTCAACTTCATATTATGTATTTGTATACTAATGTCATTTTTCTTTTCAGATTCCGGCCAGTTCACACATGCTCTATTGATTACAGACAAGGCAAACATAGACGGGCATCTGCTAGTGTGATAGCAAATATTATTGCACACAAATACCTTGATGCTTCCAATAAACCATACCCCCCAAAGCAAATTCGTGAGGACATGAGTATGCAGTATGGAATTTCCATGTCATACAACAAAGCTTGGAAAGCACAGAAGAAAGCAATGCAGCTGCAATTTGGTTCTGATCTTGAATCCTATCAGCTTTTGCCTTCAATGGCTTATGTGCTTGAGAAAACAAATCCTGGCTCTACGTTTAATCTAGTCACAGGGAAGGATGATGCATTTTCTACCTTTTTTATGTCATTCAAACCATGGATAGAAGCTTGGACCTACTGCAGACCTGTTCTTATATTGGATGGTTCTTTCATGAAGGCTTACTATAAAGGCACTCTCCTTACAGCTTGTTGCCAAGATGCCAATGATCACATAGTTCCTATTGTATTTGGTATTTGTGGTTCTGAAACTAAAGCTTCTTGGAAATGGTTCTTATCCAAAGTTTGTACATCAATAAAGTACAGACATGACCTGTACGTAGTATCTGATAGGCATAAAGGGCTTATCAAGGCCGTTTCTGAACTCTTGCCACATGCTAGCCACGGTTTTTGTGTTGCTCATCTTGGTCGTAACATAACATCAAAATTCAGAGGATCTGCAGCTGGTTTGGGATGGAAGTTCAAAGTTGCCTATATGGCAGCAACTATGAAAGAATATGATGACTACTTATCCATGTTGGATTCTGAAGACCCCAGGATAAGGACTTGGCTAGACAAATTAGGTGCTAACACATGGTCAAAAGTAATGTCTGGCCCAAAGAGATATAATATTATGACATCAAATTGTGCTGAGTCTATGAACAAAGTCAATGTCTGTGCTAGAGAGTATTCTGTGACTAAACTTGTTGATTTCTTGCGTGAAAGGATGCAGCAATGGTTCACAAAGAGGAAAGATAAAGCTGAGAAAACAAGTACTATACTCACAAAGAAATGTGAGAAACGCCTGGTAGCTTTGCAAGCTGAATCCACACGTATGAAGGTATGTCAAAGCTTATTTTTTTGACTTTGAATACCATTAGCCGGTTTTCATTTTTTCATCTCCTTTTATAATTCCACTTTGTTTGTTAATATGTCATTTTGTCTTTATAATTTTGTCATTTTTGTGTACTTCATATACAAATAGTCTTACTAGCGTTTTTATTTATCATTTCTCTTCTACTTAATATTCATATATAAGTTGACATTTTACATACTTCATAGCCACATATTACTGCTATATTCTTTTGCTAATTCTCTTTTTTATCTACTTTCATATTCTTATTTTTTTTATTTCACAGGTTAAACCATCATGTGCATATGAATTTGAAGTTGTTGACAGTAGATGCAAGTCCTTTGTGGTAAACCTCAACTCTAGAAGTTGTACATGCGGCCACTTTCAATTAGATCAATTTGTGTGTGTTCATGTTGTGGCTGCAATCGGTATACGCCCACACCTTTCATGTTATACGTACATATCTCCATATTACATAAGAGATGTTTGGCTTGCTACATGGTCTGGTATCATGCATCCTATTGCTGATCCTGACAGTTGGTCAATTCCTGCTACTATTCAAAACCAGAGATGCAAGCCACCAAGTTGTTTGAAGCGTCCTCCTGGTCGCCCTAAGAAATGCAGGATTCCATCCATTGGAGAATATAGAGGTTCAAAACGTCAAAAATGTTCTAGATGCCATGTGCTTGGGCATAATAAGAAAACTTGTAGAAATCCAATTCCAATTAATACCCAGTGATGTAGATTTGTCCACTCATTTTATGTTGTCTTCTGTTTTTTTGTACTTTTAACAATTCTACTATGTGGTTTGGACTTGGTTATCATTTCCTTGAACGTTTAAGGTTTTGTGTTTTAGCCATTCTTGGCATTTAAGTGTTTATGACTTGTGCTTTATCCAAATGTTTTATCCCAAATGTCATCTCAATAATGTAATGTCATTTTGTTTATGTATAAATGACATATGTGACATTTGATGGCATTTTGTATTCCACAAAATGTCATGTTACTTGTCAATTTGTTGTCATTTATTTACTGCATGTAAATGACATTCAATCCTAGTATCCATCTACATGTTACTATAAAAAATGCTCTAGATAAACTGGCCAAGGGGACGTACGTCCCTTTAACAGATAGATTTTTTGAACGTAATTTAATAAAATGCATTGTCACAATGCATTGTCATAAAACATATTTCATACATTTTGAATATAGAGGTTCAAAACGTCAAAAATGTTCTAGATGCCATGTGCTTGGGCATAATAAGAAAAGTTGTAGAAATCCAATTCCAATTAATACCCAGTGATGTAGATTTGCCCACTCATTTTATGTTGTCTTATGTTTTTTGTACTTTTAACAATTCTACTATGTGGTTTGGACTTGGTTATCATTTCCTTGAACGTTTAAGGTTTTGTGCTTTAGCCATTCTTGGCATTTAAGTGTTTATGACTTGTGCTTTAACCAAATGTTTTATCCCAAATGTCATCTCAATAATGTAATGTCATTTTGTTTATGCATAAATGACATATGTGACATTTGATGGCATTTTGTATTCCACAAAATGTCATGTTACTTGTCAATTTGTTGTCATTTATTTACTACATGTAAATGACATTCAATCCTAGTATCCATCTACATGTTACTATAAAAAAATGCTCTAGATAAACTGGCCAAGGGGACGTACGTCCCTCTAACAGATAGATTTCAAAGTTGATGTCATTTTGTTTTCTAAAAACTGTCATCCAAATGTCATTTATCACGGATTTTCTTCATGTAAAAATCTGTGCTTACATAAATATAAGTACCCTGTGTAATGCATTAACACAAAGTCATCTTTAATGTAAAAATCAAACAGATTTTTTGAACGTAATTCAATAAAATGCATTGTCACAATGCATTGTCATAAAGCATATTTCATACATTCAAAACACAATGAAAGTTGCTTTAACCAAGTTTTTCAAAACGAATGTACTAGATGTCTAGATGTCGTGACATGATATTAAAAGTACTAGTAAATATAACAGTCTTCCAAAACAAACATAATTGTTTCATCCTACAATCCCATTTCTTTATAGCTTCATTTCATTCTCTCTCACCCTGCCTCCTCTTGCTATATAGGACCAGTTCAGTTGCCATTTTTTCCCTAAACAAAGGTATTGCTTCAGGATATATGCCATCCATGTCCATCCCCACCATTAGAAATTCAGCCATCTTGAGCATGAACATTCCACAATTTCCCCTGATGCATAACACCAAAAATTAAAAGAAATTTTTAAAATAAAAAAGTACACTATTATACAATCTGATTAAGCAAATTTATATCCTCTTACCCATCATCTTGCTGTGGACATTCTTCTACAGGCTCAACTTCCAAAAACCTTTCACCCATAGGATCCTCACCCATATGTTCGTACACTTTGTGATAGTCCATTATTTTGGGCAGGAGGACTGTTATGCATGCAACATAGGACCTGATATCCCTTAGTGAATCACCTCTTCTAGCATTGGAGTTGTACACTCTTACCTTTCTTTGCTTGATATCTAGTACTACCAAAACCCAATGGTTGCCAGTATTCAGAGGGAAGTACACGAAGTCTGCTTTGCTCCAGTGTAGGCTATAGTTGTTCGCACCTATTATGTCACGAACAATGTTTTCTTCTTGTGCTGACTTGTGGTATGTATAGTGCCCCTTTGATATAGTGTCAAGCTCCCGCTTCAGTATTTGCAAGAAAAAAGGCCCAGTTGTGGTGTAGTTTTGTGGCAGTTTGTAATGCACCCGTTTCATGCCCAAATAGTACATTACTACCTCAACATGTTGTAAAAAATAAAACACACATTTAACAATTACAAACTAATTCAACTGACTTTTAATGGCATTCTATACAAACAAACATACATATAAATGTACACTTGGGAGTTAGACTGGCAAAACTATAACATTTTTGAATTTACCTTGTCAGTGATCCATTCATGATTCGTAAACATGTCATATAACCATGTTTTTGATTCAACTTTCATAGTGTCTAGCAAGAACGGTTTGTGAACCATTTTTTCTTCTTCCACTTTGTACCTTCTGCCATTTTTGTTTTTTTGAAAATTCTTCAACAATCCAACTTGGAGGTATGCTCTCTATTTCATTATCTGGTGGGCTCTCTGTTGGATCTTCTGTGAAAGGTCCAACTATTTCCTTCAGTGGAGGCAAAAATTCATTGTCAGCTCTTTTCTTACCCTTTTCTCTCTTCCTCCTCTTTGGCGAATGCTCTGATGGAGTGTACTTCACTGGTGACCTAGCAAAACTCTTTTGTTTGGGAAGATCCTCTTGTTCCTGTGGCATTTCCATAATATATATTATTTATTATATTTTTCTATATTTATTGAAAATGTATTAATACACTCAATGTCATACTAAAAAATAATCATAAAAATATAAGCATTATAATCAATTTGTAAAGTATTTTGTCATTCAAGTCAAGACAATATTACATAAAATGTTTTGAGATTCATAAAAATCATATATACAATGGTGATATGTACTACAGAAGTCACCAATTTGTCAGTTTCATAACTTCACATAAACTGTATATCACATAACTTTACTAATTTGTCACTAATACTTCGAATGTCACTTTTATGTCAGTTTCATACCTTCCAAATGCTACTTGAATGTCATTTTATTTTTTTTAGTTACCTGATTAGGATTCACTATGATTGCTGTACATGGATTGGAAGAATAGCTCTCAAAAGCCTTTTTGGCCACCTCATCTGCAGTTTTGCAAATCTCTTTGACAAATTGACTATTGTCCTGTGACCCCATCCCCCAACAAGATTCAGCAGTTTTGTCCATCTCTTGAGACTGACTCAATATGTTAAACGTAGGCATGTCACAAACTACATCTTCATTGTGCTCGGTCTCTACAACATCTTTATCTAGAACATCATGTTGGTCCCGTTGTAATGGAAACAGTCAAGAGGGGGGGGGTGAATAGACTGTTTTAGGAATTTAAACTTTTCTCCAAGTCAAGTCTGACTTCACAGAGATGGTCCAAATCTGGTGACAGAGATGGTCAAGTTCTGATGGCAGAACTAGACCAGGCAGCGGATAAGTTTCTGTCCGGGTAGCCTCTAGAAGAAAGCTAAGGCAAGGTGCCTTTCTGATAACTCTGAAGGAAGATCTGCTGGACACAGAGTCCAACCTTAAGAGTTAGTCAGTAGAATCTTAAGTGCAGGAATTAAAAGCTTAAAGTAAATGACACCGGGGTTTTTATAGTGGTTCAAGGAACAACTTGTTCCTCTAGTCCACTGTTCCACTAAGGTTGCAAAAACAACAGTTTACAACGCCTTAGTCCCTAGAGCATAAGAAGCACTCCTCGTCTTCTTCAAGTCTAGTTGCCACCCGGGATGCAGTCCTGCTTCCTGATGGCTGATCTCGTTTCACTGAGTCTCTTGAAGTATCCCCACTTCACTTACTCCAGCTAGTTTGAGACGTCCCTTCTTTTTCAAGAAGTCTTTGATATAAAATCAGTTTTCTCCAACGTTGCTTCTTCACAAAGGATAGGTATATGAAGCTTTCGAAGTGTTGAAGAACTGAGTAACTTTGCAGTTTGCTAGTTGGATAAAGGATAGGAAAGTATATCTTCCAACTGGAGCCTTTTCTTGTCTGAGAATGAAGTTTTAATCTCAAGAAGGTTGTTTACGCAAATTTATCTTGGCAAAGTTTTTTTTCTTGGTTCTTCAGAGTGTATCTTTTATACTGGGAGCAGTCTTCCCGTTGGAGTGTAGAAGACAGCTTCATTAAATGCATGTACTGTTGACTTGACCGTTTGGTCCTCCGACTTGCTATTTTGGGGGCGTAAAGATACTCGCATGGTCAATCATCAGCTTTAAATATCTCTTCGTACGTACAACATTAAATGTGCATTTAATGCGTGTACAGTGCCATGCTTCCGTTGAAAGGTTTGTATCCGTTAGGGGATTTCCCGTTAGTTTAACGACCGTTGGAAGGGCTTCCGGAATCTGGTGGATTTAGCAGAGTCTGAAGAGGTTCTCTGGTCCAATCTCTGAAGTCCGTCTCTGTTGCCAACTCTGGTATCTTCCTGATAACCAGTTTCTGATGGCTTCTCTGGTGAGCAACTCTGGGAGCAACTCTGATAGAGGCAAGATGGAAATCTGGCAGGCAGACTAAGCTAAAACTTACAAAAGAAATTCTAATACACAATTTCTAATGGGGTACTTTCAAATTCTAATAAACCTAGCATCATCAAAATCTAAATACATTTATTCCTTACAATTTCCCCCTTTTTGATGATGCCAAAACCCTTTAACTATTTCCAGAGAAGTGCCTTTCACCATAAAAAAAATAAAGTTAAAAACTTTTCATTAAAATCTTGGTGGGCAACTTAGCATAGGAAGATAGTAAGAGTACGCGGTACAATCAGATAGCAATAATCAAGTACGATAACAAAATATACACAAGAAAGTAAATAAGAACAGATATTTGAAAAGAGCCAAGCAAAAAGAGAGGCAGAGTTGGTATCTTATTGATCTGATGGGAAAAGTAACGCATTACAGAGTTAGATAAAGAGAGTTAGAGATCTTCTTCATCTACCTGTGGTCCTGCTCTGTCAATTCTCTCTAGTTCAGCATTTACCTTTGCTCTGATTGAGGCTAAATCCCTCGGATTCTGATAATCAGCCCAATGAGGTGCAAGTTTGCAGTCCAAGTAGTTTCTGACAGCTTCTGCAGAATTTTTGCCATTGAGAATCTTCATACCATACCACATTTCAGCTTCTTGAATGGAACCACCATGGTTGATCTGGACCAGTCCATCACTATCCATGAACAGATTCTCTCTTTGAAGAGGAGTCATCAGTTTCCTC